GGAGGGGCAGGTAAAGCCACCGGGAGCCCAGGGGTGGCGGCCTTCTGGGCTGTCTTTCTCCAGATCTCCCTCCTCCCTCCCTCTCTCTCCTCCCTTCCTCCCATGCACAAATATTCATATTCTCTCTTTCTCGCTCTCACATACACTTCTCACTCATTCATGTCTATATTTGCTTGCATCTCTACAAAAAACACGCGTATTCAAATGCGTGAAGACATGCAAATTAGGGTAGCCAGCCCATGCTGTGCTGGTCTGTGGTGTGTGTTATGTAAGAATTTGGGGACAGAACAGCTGAAAACTTGCGAGGTTCCCTCCCTGAGACAGGAAAGTTGAGTCTTAGGTGACAGTAAAACGTATTTGGAGTTTGGAAAGCTGGTCTTTTCCAGGCTGCATCCTTTGCATGTCTGAGAATGGAGTGATTTTGAGATCCTCTCAGGACCCGCTTCATTGTGCGGTGAGAACGAGGAGAGGAAGTTGGGGTGGGGGTCAAATGAAGGCTGGAGACCCCGAAAACAGAGCTGGAGTTCAACAGCTAGTGCTCGCTTACTGGGCTCCGGGCTCTGTGGGAGAAATGTTTTCAGGACCTTGGAGAGCTCTCCAAAGGCTCCTGGGCCAGGCCAGCGTCTGATGAAAGATGGTTTTTTATACAGGAACATTTCATTCCCGGGAGAAGGGGTGTGGCAGACTAGGAACCTCTGATTAGCTTGTTTTCTTTTGCTAGTCCGAACTAGGATCCTAATATAATTTCCTTTTCCCCCCAAACCTGTGCTCACAAAATTGGGGGACAAGAAAACAGGTCTTGAAGACAGTCCACATAGACTGGCCCCAGTTTGTCAGGCCTCCGCTGGGATTATGCCTCAAGTCTTGGGTTCTCCTGAAAATGAGTGGGGGTCTGTTCATCAGAGAGAATTCTCAGTTACCTCTAGAGAAAACATGATCCCAGCTATGGTTTTACTCCACATGACTAGAGTAATGTAGGAGACCCATAGCTCTGTAGCTGCGATGGCTTTTTAATTAAATTTTGTGCAGGCACCTGCTTTCCTTCGGCAGATGGAGAGCAGAATTATCATGATAGGAGGAAAGTGGATATAGGGGTGAAATTCATCCTAATGCCTACATCGGCACTTAGCCCTACTTAGAGTCAAAGGCATGTGAGCGTTATCAGAAAATGCGATGACTATAAGATTTATTTTATGATATACTGGGACAAGCACCAAGCAGATCAGTTCTGGAGTGTCTAGAAAGCAAGTAACCTTTTCACTTAAAATTTGTAAAATACAAATGGGCCTGCCTAGCTCATATTAACGACATGGAATACAGATGTATCAAACTAATAATCGCGTCTGTGTAATAGTCTACAAAGCTCTTTTGATTTATGACATATCATTTACTCTATAATCTACAAGTCCACTAAAAAGTAGTAAAACAGGGGCCAAAGTGGCATGGTGGTTAAGGCATTGTTCTCCCACATGGCTGACCACAGTTTGAGTCCTGGACCTGGCGGCTTGAAAATCATGCCAGGGGGGTGTGTGTGTGCTCAAAATCCAGAGAGAATGGAGAAGGCATTGCAGCATGGCCATCCTTCTTGGGGGTGATGTTTCACTTTCTCTCTCTCTTTTTCTCTCCAATGAGTGCATGTACCCTAAAGCAAAAAAAAAAAAAAAAAAAAAAAAAAAAAGTGGTAAAATGGAAGTTAGACTTGTTTGACAAACCAGCTATCCCTGCTCCTAACAAGAAGTTCTTTGTCGGTGTTTTCGTCAACATTAAATTAACTTTTCTGTGTTGTATGCATGGCTTATGAACTTTAACCTTTGATCTGGGTCACATTCTGCAGAGGTTATTTTTCTTAAATAGAATTGAAGAATGCGCCGTTAGACGGGAAGGCCAAAGAGCAAATACAACAGGAAGAAGAGGACTTCAAAGGTAAGACCCGGCTTCATCAAAATAGATTCACGGGAACCAGCAGTTAGCATAATGGCTATGTCGCTGGACTCCCACGTCTGTGTTGTATGCATGGCTTATGAACTTTAACCTTTGATCTGGGTCACATTCTGCAGAGGTTATTTTTCTTAAATAGAATTGAAGAATGCGCCGTTAGACGGGAAGGCCAAAGAGCAAATACAACAGGAGGAAGAGGACTTCAAAGGTAAGACCCGGCTTCATCAAAATAGATTCACTAGCTCCTCATGGTCTCCATGTTGATAAATAAGAGATTAAAAGAAAATCTGGGTTCTTCTCTATGGGTTTTGGACTTCACATACTTTACTCTCAAACTCTGACAATGAGTTGGATACTTACACATTTGGTCCTTTTTTGGAAATGGCAGGAATGGCTACATACCCGCTGGCTTTGAGGGTGTGAAAACCTGTAATATAGAGCCCTGGTCCCTACCACTGGTCCAGAACACGAGCAGCTCTGAGATGACCCATGGGTGAAAACCTAGCTCAGGCTTCCAGTCATGCTTAGAAGACTTTGGTGGCTTCCTGGATGCACTGTGAGTCTGACTGACGCTTGTGTGTGATCTGGCCTGCGACTTTGCTGTGGCTAAGTGGCAACATTGTCTACACACCTGCACCTGGTGCCCTGCAGCATGGCCCTGTGGGAACTCCCTCTCCATGTCTCGGAACTGTTTCCTGGGCCAGAAAGGCAGTGTGAAAATGCAATGATTTAAAGAGAGGAGCAGAGAGGCCTGCAGCTGACTCACACACAGCGATGGGGAAGCACGCATCCTCTCCGACCCTCAGCTCACTGCTTCTCTCCTCGCAGGGAGACCGCGGAGACAGTAGAATGTCTGCGACATCCTTAGGGTTTCACAAGGGGTAAGGTTTATGGTTGTCTGCATGTGCTGTGAACATTCTGAAGTAAAAGGAGATTGGAATTCCGTTCCAGCACATTGATGCTACCACGACCACAGTAGTGATCCGAGCGTGATGACGACAGCACGCACTTAGGTCTGTTTGCCTAAGAAAGGAAGTGTGTGTGTGCGCGCGCGTGTGTGTCTGTGTGCGTGTGTGTGTGCGTGTCTGTGTCTGTGTGCGTGTGTGTCTGTGTGCGTGTGTGTGTGACTGTGTGCGCGTGTGTGTGTGTCTGTGTCTGTGTGCGTGTGTGTGTGTGTGTGTGCGTGTGTGTGTGTGTGCGTGTAGGGGTTCTAGTACTCGTCCTCCCTCCTGTTGCAAAGGCCCCTTCTGGTGCCCATTTGGCATTCTGTTGTGTTTGCTGCTTCGTGACTCTGTCTCCTTCTGATCCGAGACTCCAGTGCTGTGTGTGTGCACGTGAAAATGGAAAGAGAGAGCTCACAGCATCACCCACGGGACTCGGTCCTGCTGCAGGCCCTTTCTCTCCAGTGCTCTGTCCCGCCGAGGCCTGGGCACCCACATGTGCACCTGCTGTGGTTTTTGTGCTAACACGGTCAAGACTCAAACCCTACTCAGCCATGTGGGATGTGGCTTCACCTCTGTGCTAGCCCCACTCATCTCTGAGACGTCACTCACGTCACTCCAAGTGCCTAGCACATAGCTAGGGCTTTAAAACCATTGAAGAAAGGGAGGAATGAGAAAGGAAGGACCCTTCACACCATCCACTGCAGTGACGCCTGTAGATCATGGTGCTGGAAAGTTCCAGAGCACTGGAGAGTCAAGTGGCCAGCAGGATGGAAATAGCCCTGTCTCCTGGACCGTTTGGTCCGCCATGCATGGTGTCTATCAGAACGCAGACAGATAAGCCACATGCAGGATATCGGGGCGTCACGAGGGCTATGAACAGGAGCAACCTGGACAGGGGGACAGAGCTGGGAGGCCAACATTTGGCTGAGCCGCCACAGGAAGCCTCTCCGAAGAATGTGGGAAGGCCCCTGCAGGAGAATGTTGTTCTTTCCCTGGTCTGTGGGACACGAGCCGGCGACGGGCTGCTAGGACTTGCGTAGCCATTTAATGTGTAAGCGCGCACACCGTCGAGAGAGTTGCTACAGACAGGTTACAAAGAGAAGCCATGGACGCCCCCTCACCACAGTGAGAGTACCCTCTGAAAGCTACCGCCTCTGCACAGACACCCGCACAGCAGTGGGGTGCCCAGTGGTTAGCGTGGCTGCCTTCCACGGAGAGCCACACAACTCATAGGAGCGTGGCTCGTGCTCCATCACCATGGCCTGCCGGAGGCGAAGGTGAGCAGTTCGCCACATGCTGGAGCACCTTCCCTCACCCCTGCACCCCTGTACCTCCTGGGATGGGAAGGCTTTCTCCACAGGAAGGAGCCGCTAGGAGCCATCACTTAGGACAGCTGTAGACTTGGCGTTACTATTCATGCTGCTGCTCCAGCGACTGCAAAGCAGGTGAGAGAGTCCCGGGAACCCGCTCGCCAAGCAGGTGCTGAGCCAGGCTAGCGTGCCTCTGCACACGCCCGCCTTTCCTCGCTCCATCCTGGATTATTTATTGTATGGAGTTTAGTCGTTGCCCGGCCAGCCCGGAGTTGGGAGGTCAAGGTGGCCAGATCCCGTGGCCAACTGCACAGCTTGAGTCTCAGACACGGCGGCTTGAAAACCATGCTGAGTGAAACTAGCAGATGACGTAATGGTTACATCACTGGACTCCCTTGTAGTTGACTACAGTTCAAATCCTGGACCCGGAGGCTTAAAACGCACACCAGGTGTGTGTGTGTGCATGCCCAAAATCCCAAGAGGACAATGGAGGAGAAGGGATTGTGGCATAGTTATCCACCCGGGGAGTGATTTCGCTTTTCCTATCTCTACGTCTCTCTCTGTCTCTCGGCAAGTGCACGTATCCTATACCAAAAATCTCTTTAAAAAAAAAAAGGAAGAAAGAAAAACATGCTGGGTGTGTGTGTGTGTGTGTGTGTGTGTGTGTGTGTGTGTATGCCAAAACCCAAGAGGAGAGAGGAGTGGAGGAGAAGGGCTTGCAGCATGTCCGTGCCCAGAGGGGTGCTTTCTCACTTTTCCTCTTTCTCCCTCTCTCTGTGTTTGTCTTTCTCTGATGAGCGCTCATGCCCTCAGGCAAAATTTTTTAAAATTGCCCAGTTCCCAGAGTTACTTAATAAATCCCCTCATGTGTACTTTCACAACACTGGAGGTGGCAGTCAGAGCGCAGGTGCCAGGTAATTTTGCTAATCTCTGTATTGGGCACCTAGCTACTGGCTCTCCAATGAGGATGTCACCCTTCCGAGATTCTGAAGGGATTCCCAATCCACAGCCGGACACACTACATTTTAAAAGCCGTCTTTCATGTGATCATTCTCAGAGTGAATCTAACAGGTGATGCAAGAGGTCTTCAAAAAGTACATGGGAAATGCATATTATAAAAAAGCTATCCCTGGATTTTGAATTTTCTTGCACCAAACTCTCACTTCCATTCCATTCCTCTCTGAATCTGTGACGTCTGCTCCTGTTTGGGACGATGTCCAGAACCTCCCAGACTCCCAAGGACGGCTGTTTTAGGTAGCTTACATGAGGCTAAAGTACCTGGTTAGACAAACAGCTTACAGACACTTCCGTCTATTTACTACCGAGAACTAGCCTCACTAGCAGTCGATGCACCCCTTTAAACCGAAGCTTCATACATACACGGAAAAAGTCCACATTCGGGACTGACAATCAGTGAGGGTAAGGAAAGGGGTGGGAAATAAGGAAACCCAGTAGTTTGTCCAAAAAACACGAATTGACTCATTCAGTAGATTCACAGCCAAAAAATCCTGGAAAACCTCATCTGCAGAAAGTCAAGGTTAACTGGTCCGACCCTCTCCCTTCAAGGATGTTGAAACCGTAACCTGCAGGGGTTAACGAGCCCGCCTGGGAGCTAGGGACCAGCGGACTGCGGGTGGAAGCCGGTGGAGAGGCTGTCTCCGCCCTGTAGGGCCAAGTTCCGGGCCGCGCTTTGCGTTTCTGGAGCAGAAAGTCGGACTCCATGGGATGCATTTCCTGGAATGGGTCAAACGTCACTAAAAATTCATGACCTGGAATAAGCCTCTGTCGCTCAAGCCCAGGAACAGCTGTCCTGTGACACTTTCTCTTTTATGGTTTTACCCCGTCGTTCTTAACAAAGCTGCTCAGTCCCATCGCGCCAAGCAGCAACATTCCGCCCAGAGCTCTGGACACAGGCCATGAGGGAACAACGGCAGTATGTCACCTGGTCCTGCTCTGCGTCAAACCCATCCCTGACGAAGAACGTCAGCACAAGAAAAATAACTCTTCCTGTTGCTAGGAGGACTTTTTTATATCTATCCTGTCTATTTCTGTGCTTTTTTCCATGTTAAAGTCTCTGATGCTATATAGAAAACCTGAAAAATGTCTCCTTAGACAAGTTGGTTCTGACAATGCAAGTATATGATTCAGCCCCTGCCCCCGGGTCTGGCATTAACTCATCCCTCACCTGTTCTCTGACTCACGGTGACCTTCAGTCGCTGACTTCTGTATGCCTCAGTCTCCTCCATGACAAAGCGAAGTTAGTAATAGTGACCCCACCTCCCCTGGATCAGGATTTGCATTAGAACGTCTTCAAAGCAAATGCCTTTAGAATTATTTTACATATGTGTCACTAAAACTGGGCTCTGATTCATCGGCCACATGGCATCGGATTACTGAAGAGCTCAACCTGCACTGAAGACACGGGAAGTAGGTCACCAGTCGTTCATCCATCAGAAAGTGCCGCTCTAACCGGGCAAAGCACAGGCTAACATCTTGACGTTTCATGAATTGATAGTCTTCTGAATGTCTAAAAGAAGAAAGGGGGAAAAAAAGAAAAGAGAGACCGAGAGAAATTCCACCTGTGCATCCGCTGCTGTCTCCTCCCGGGGTGGCTTAGCCGGCAGCTGCCCCTGGAGCAGGGAGGAGGCCTAGGCCTGCAGGTAGTACTGAGCAGCAGTTCTAATGACGCCGCTGGTCCCCAGCAATATCACCTGCCTGCAGCAGTTTTCCAAGGGCAGGGTCATCTTTTCCTGAATCTGACCGTTTTCTAATGAAACCCTGTTTGGCTGCAAGCACACACTTACAAGATGTTCTTACAGGTTTGCTTTGTGCCCCGGGTAAGGGCGATGCCAACTCTCCCTGGCTCACAGCCCACGGCTGCAGCCCTGTGACCTCATCTGACCAGACCCAGTGGTCACAGGGCTGTAGATGAAAGCCTCTCTCTTAGACACACATTACTAGAAGGCTTCTTGGTGAGTGACTGGGAACATTTCATATCCCTCCTACGGCCGGGTTGTAGCTAAAGCGCTGAGAAAACCCGGCCCGATGCAAACGACCTCTTCCACCGCTCTCGCTTCATCACCTGTAGACTGTGTCCACCCCGGGAAAACCATCTCGAGGGTCACTGAGACCCACTAAGATTTCACATTCCTACGACACGCTTTCCTGCTCATATGAGAATCAGAACACCCAGACCAAACAGGGCAACCGAGGATTCCCTTAGCCTCCAAAATGTCTGTGCCATAGATTCATAACCAAATCCACACAAATACCTCCCTCTAAGGGTATCAATTAAGTCAAATTAAGTTGAGATTTCCATCCTTTTGTTGTCATTGAGATTTTTGGTATAGGGAATATACACTCTCCAGAGAGACAGAAAGTGAGGAATCACCTCCCAGGAGGGATAGCCATGCCACAATCCCTTCTCCATTCTCCTTGCAGGATTTTGAACATGCCCACACACGCCCAGCGTGAGTTTCAAACTGCCAGGTCTGGGACTTGAACCAGAGTTGGCCACACGGGAGTCCAGCGATGTCACCTTTATGCTATCTGCTGGTCCCAAAATTTCCATCTTCAAAGAGCCCAAGCAGCCCACCCAGGGCACAGTTTACATTTCTCGGTTCTCTGAATCCTTGTTTATGCAGGACACTTCATGGGAAATAGTGAAAGGTCAAGCTTCCTTCCCTCATTACACCCGAGCCGTCCACACGGTCAGGTGCGTCTTCAAATGATGACTGGGACGTACAGTGCTCGAGTCAGTGGGATGGGGAGGGTCAGCGAGACGTGTCAGTCGCTCTGCAGCTTTTCCGTAGAGCTCTGTACAGCCGGGACATCAGTGTGAGAGGAGGCAGAGACGCTCCGGAGGCAAACTTTCAAGCTGGTCGGAGTGACACCATGTACACGCCACAGGGGACACGGTTAGAAGGCCAAGAGGGCGGTCCAGGACAGATCCCACCGTAGCCAAGGAAGGGCCAGCCTAGTTCTTTGACACGTGCGTGTAAGACCACTGCCTTCTGACACTGCAGAGGACGCCAGGTCCCTGAGAATCTCAGCTTCTTTGCTGCCACTGCTCAAGTGCCTCATGCTTCCGTTTTGCACCATTTAGGTGAGCTGCTTCATTTCATTTATGGAAAACCAATTCGAGCCATCGAGTGCTGGGGGGTCATTTTGCATAAACAGAAAAGGATCTTGTTAGAAAGACAGGTCTGTAAAGTGTCTTCTCACAGCAAAAGAAGTGGGCTGGCAGGACCCCGCCCTTGCCCTTGGTCAGGAGGCCGGCACTCACCACCTGACGCTGTCCTTCCAGCCGGGAAGATGAGCTCCTGCGGCAACGTCTGCGGGTCCACGCGGGCCCAGGCTACGGCCGAGGCCGGGCACCAGCGCTACGGCGTCCGGTCCTACCTTCACCAGTTCTACGAGGGCTGCACCACCTCCATCTGGGAGTGTGAGGACGATTTCCAGATCCAGAGATCCCCGAACAGGTGGAGCTCCGTACTCTGGAAGGTAAGGGAGGGGCGTGTTTGACGCAGGGGGTGGATTCTGCAGCGACGGAGGACGGAGGGAGTCGCTGCCGTCTGTCTGCATCACTCTCAGAATGTGTTTCTTTTCTCGGGAAAGGGCAGTCTAACCTGTGGCTGCAGAGAGCCACCAAGCGCAGCATGCCTGTCGGTGAGCTGCGAACCCTAACAGGTGCAGTGACCACGTGACCATTACTGCTCGACTGTTACTGACGCACCTCTAGGTTCGATACCCGCGAGGCTGTTCTTGGCAACAGTTGGTTCTTCTGTTAGTCTCCCTTTCGGGTTTGGTTGGTATCATTTGACAAATTATAGCAACTACTAGAAAGACGGGGAGAGGGGCAGCAGGTGGTACGGTGGTTAGGGTGCTGCACCCCACATGGCCACCCGTCACTCCAGTCCCCGACCTGACGGCTTGAAAATCACACCGGTTGCGTGTGCACACGTGCCCAAAGTCCCAGGAAGAGAACAGAGGAGAAGGGATTATGGCATGGTCTTCCCCCCGGGGGTGAGTTCCTACTTCCCCTCTGTCTCTCTGTCTCTCTCTCTCTTTCTCTTGGGCAACCGCAGATGCCCTTTGGCCAGCCCTAAGAAAGGAAAAGAAGAGTCGGGTATTAAGCATCAATGCTGAGACACAGACGCCGGCCAGTAGCCACTCTTCCTCTGCCGGGTGTGTGATCTCGAGTCTCCGAGGAGGGCTTCGTTAGATAACGCGCCCAGCATCCGGTTAGTGAGCGCCTGCTCTGTCAGAGGGCTCGGCGTGCAGAGATTGGTGCGGGAGAAGCGATCTGTCCGCGTGAAGCCTACAGTGCAGGGTGGGAAACAGACCGTGAACAGAGAGCCCCGTCGGGGAACGTCAGGTAGGGACGTAAGTCAGTCGGGACTGAGGGCAGGGCGACCGAGACTGCTGTTTAGACATGTCGATGCTAGGAAGCCTTTCAGGAGGGACGACTCTGAGCAGATACCAGGTGCGCGAGGGAGCAGGCCAGTCACTCCCCCGTGAAGGTTATTCTAGGTGGGGAACGCCAAGCCCTAAAGCCCTGAGCAGGGAGCACCTGCAATGGGTTTGAAAACAAGCCAGAGGTCCAGTCTGGTCGGAGATGAGAAAAGGGACCGGTGATGAGTTAAACAAGTACTGGGACACGGGTGACTCATACAGGACTTCAGGGATGACAGTGAGGGCCTGCGCTTCCCCTCTGGTGCAGGAAGCCACCTGAAGGGTTAGCAGAGCACGCCGTGTGGGTGTCTGGTCCAGCCCTGACAGCCCAGTGCCCACGACCACTGCTGTCTGCAGGAATCTGTGCCCCAGGCCCCTGCCCTGCACCCACTGCTGCCAGCCCAGGCTCGGACAGGCTGTGGAGGGCTCTTTGTTTCTTACCCTCGGGCGTGACCTTGACCAAGGCTCTTAGTGCCTGGTTGCCTATGCAGCGAACAGCCTCCATCTGCAGGGACTGGGCCACGGGAAGTCTTTTCACCAGATCATCCTTTCCTCCCCTCGGGGTCTCCTTACCTCCTCTCACCCTAACTCAGAAAACGCTCCTTCAACGGCGACACAGGGCAGAGCCTCCGTGGGCTCCCGAGGGGGCAGTGACTCAGTCCCTCGCTGTCCTGTCCATCCTGACCCCCAGTCTCCCCGAGCTAGGTCAGTGTTCAAACTCGGACTTAGATTTCTCTTTGACGTTCTTTTCCTTTTATGTCTTTCTTACTTATTTTTTCCATGAGCTAGAGAAACAGAACAGCTCCCCAGCAGGGCCCCAACACCGAGGTCCACCCCTGCTCAGCCAGTGGGCACACATGTGCCCTGACTCCTCAGGGAGGTCTCTGAATGCAAACCAGAACCTCAGCCTCACGGAGCGTCACCTGCCACTATCGCTGCCCAGCCCTCTCTTCCAAGCTCTGTCGGCCACCAAGGGCTTGCTTCTGTACCAGACGTGACAGGGGCGGTGGGAGACCGTGAAGACGGGAAGCCAAGTGGCAGGACTTCTGTTCTAACGACGTCTCTGGTGGCCCTTGGAGGAGGGGGGCTGAGGCTCGCACCTGAGATGCTGCCTTGGCGACCCGAGTGGGGTGTGCGTGGCTTGCCCCACTAGCGGCCGTGGAGGGAGGGCAAAGATAAGAGTGTGCGGTGACGTGGACCCCGTACGGCTGTGTGGTCCGCTGACTACGAGTGGAGGGAGGGCTCTGAGCGCCGGGTGGGTGCGACAGAGAAGTCGGGGGAATGTTACCAAGCACCGTTTTGAGTATTTGGGGTTCGAGGAGCCTTTGGGAAATTTATCTGCAGACCCTCCAGTTGACCAGGCTGTAAATATGGTCTAGAGCTCTGGGAAGCAAGTCAGGCTGGCGCTCGGGGTTGGACATCCCTGGGAGCAGATGGGGTCAAAGCTGTGCCTCAGCTTGACCCCCAGAAAGGACACGCTGCCTAAGAGGTGGTGGTCACGGCGGCCCCCTGGGGAATGCCCGCAGCTTACGAAGAACGTCTGGCCACGCGGCTGAGTGGGCCGTGTAGAGGAAGGTTGTCGGTAAGCACTGGGGGACACTGCTCAGCGTCGGGCACTGCAGAAGCTGTAAGTGCGCTGAGAGGACCGGTAAGAGACCACGCTGGGTCTGACGGCCGAAAGGTCACCGTGGCCTTCAGAGAGGCAGGTGCAAGGAAACGGTGGTGAACTAAGCTTGGCCGCAGAGAGCAAGAACGACCTCGGCAGCAGCTAGGAGGGACACGGGGTCTGGAATGGCTCTGAAGATGGAAGCGAGCAGCTGTGCTGGAGGGAAGAGGCTCTGCACGGCAGGCACCTGGACACGGACACGGACCCGGACACGGACCCAGGCCCCTGGACGACCCAGACCTCCGCCATGGCTCTTGCCCGGACAGTGCAGGCCGGCGGAGGCAAGCGGGGGTGGTGAGGGGCAGCCACCACAAAGAGCAGCCCCCACTGCTGGGCACGCCCTCTGCCCAGGGCCCGTGTCCACGAGGGAGAGGTCAGCAGGAGGGCTGTGAGTGAAGAAGGGCCGTC